AAACACCTTCACACAAGGACATTTTTCTACATATAAGTGCTCTCTGTCTACCATTCACACTGTGATCCAGCATCAGGACAAACTCAGAGGTTCAGTGTCGTGCCCAAAAATACTTTGCCACACAGCCTGGAGCAGCCAGGGATCAAACCACCAACGTTCCAATTAGGAAATTGGGACTCTATTGGCTGAGCCACATTCACTCAGCTGTAGAGCCTTTTAAATTCATCTCAACCAACTCGACACATTGCAAGTGAATATAAAGCGATAACAAGAAACACACCTTCAGGGAACATCAGTGATAACTGAACTCAGCTCAGCTCGATGTTTGTTGACAGAAATTGGCGGAGTGTCCCGGATCACAGAGTCTTGCGATTGGTGGAGTCTTGGGGCTTTGCTGTTCGAACTTCTTACAGGAATGGTAAGCTAAACGCTCTCCAAGCATATTAATAATGTAATAGTCTGCAACTTTTGAATTTTGTAAGTTTTGTACCATCCCTGCAAAATATTGTTTCTGACTCTCCCGCAGCCTTTGTGGCAGCTCCACCCAGCAGGAATCCACTCCCACACTCAGCTGCTCATCCCCGACCACCTGAGCACCGCGGCCGCTTCTCTGCTTACCGAGGTTAGAGTTAAGGGTTGAAAGATCTGCAAGGCTTTTGTTATAAAGAGTGTATTCAAAAAGTTTTAAACTGTGTTTCTACTCATTTTCACTTACAGTTGCTCCAGTTCGATGCTGGTTATCGCCTTGGCTCTGGAGGTGGGGGTGTAAGTGACATCAAATGTCATCCCTTCTTCAATGGAGTTTCCTGGAAGGCTCTGAGCTGCTAGCAGGAGATGATCCCTGTGTGTTACACTGGACTTGAAACACTGGGCTCAATCCGAGCATCCTAAAGTGGCCCTAACAGTTGTAGCACCACATACTGGTTTCATTTGAATTTTGTGCTTCCCAAAGAAATATGACAAAATAAAAACTGAAACAAAAATGGTGAACTGTCACATGGACAGTGAAACAACATGGATTATTTTAAACCCTTGAGATGTAACTTAATATATATTTGATGTAATTTTGATAGTTTTACAAGTTCAGCGTACACCGTGCATGAAAACCGATGCCAACTAAACCTAACATGTGACAATTGAAAAAATTACTAATTTTGGATTACTTGATGTAGAAAAACAATAATGAAGAATGAATAAATAGGCAATAAATTGTTACATCTTCTTTGAACATCCCTTCCTGTTATAAAGCCTTTGTCATTTTGGGTTATCATTCATAAATAGGCCATTACTGCGTCCAAAGATTGGCACAATTTTATGTTTTGGTTTAATCAAATGAATTTTAAACTTTTTCAAATATGATTACATATAAAGTAGCCATTTGTGAAGTGGGACTCCCCAAAAGATATCCAGGGCTCATAACCAGGGACCCAAAACACCAGAAAATACATGCATGATACCTAAAATATATCATTTTGAACATGCATTCTCATACTAACCTAGATCCTAAAGTATCATATCATGAAATGATTACATCTCTAGATAGTGGCACATGAAAATATGAAAAGTGTAGATTCATTAGGTTGTGGACTTCAAGTGTAAAGCTGTTGCAGGTTTTGTAAAATCCCAGCTGTATAAGGTTTAGTATTAAACATATTTTAGTAGTGGCTACGGTGCAAAACACTTTTTAAAGACAGAGAAGGGTTTTTATTGTGTTTTCAAGTTCACTTCATAGCTGTGGACCTCCACAGGCCATTCTGAAACTTACATTTAAGTTGACATTTCCTTCCCTTCAGGAGTTGTGTTTCCTTGGTGTACATTGGGATATGTTCACAAAGTCTGTCACTGAGTCTTAAGGCTCCACAATTTTAAAACAACAGTAATACTATCAGGGATACATTAAACCTATTGAGATTAGATTTGCAGCAGTATGACTCAAAATGTACAGATATTGACATGGATACCTACACTCTCTGATCACTTTGTTGGGTAAGCCTGTTAAAACTGCACATTAGCCCAAACATTAAACTGATAAGCCAATCACGTGGCAGCAATTCGGTGCTTTTAGGCACGAAGACGTGGTCAAGTTCAAACCAAGCATCAGAATGGGAAAATAAAGGTGGGTTAACTAACTTTGAACATGGTGCAGTTATTGGTGACACGGGGGCTAGTTTGAGTATCCACAGTGGCCTCCACAGTTACCAGATCTCAGTCCAATAGATCACATTTATGATGTACTGGAATGAAAGACTTGTGTCATAGGTGTGCAGCCAATGAATATGCAACAGCCCTGTGATGCTATCGTGGCAGTATGGACCAAAGTCTCTGGGAAATGTTTCCAGCAACTTGCTGAATCTATGTCATGGGGAATTAAGCCAGTTCTTAAGTTGAAAGGTGGTTCAACCCATTCTTAGCAAGATGTACCTAATAAAGTGGCCAGTGAGTGTATGTTCAGAAACTAGGATAAACAAGTTATTTACAACAGATGGTATCGCCTCCACATGAGTCACATGAAGTGCAACTTGATCTCAAATGGGTCACGAATGTAAAACTACTCTGCATTTTTCCTCTAGCCGGTGCCTTTAGGGGTCAACACAGCAGCTCATTCTCTTCTGTCACACAAGTCCTTCTCATGTGCTCCTCCACTGCATCAATTAATCAATTAATCTTCTCTCTGGTCTCTCCTTCAAAATCCTTTGCCAACATCTCCCACTTTCTTTTAGTAGAATTACAACTGGATTCTAAAAAGTTCACATTAAATCAACCTTTAATTTACAAAACACATTAAGAGCTTAAGATGTCTTCAGAAAAATAACTGCAGTTACACAATGTGCCATTACAAAGGAACACTACTGTCATAACTAAAAGGAGTGTGTCAGCATGGCGCTTTGGCCTACAGACCTTTGTGCGTACTAAGGCAGGTCACCGGTAATTTGTAAGTAAGGCCGCCTTCAAGCTAACAATGAGTCAGACATCTGGCATTTCTGACCAAAACCTATGCAAAGCAATCGGCTCTGAAGCACTTGCAGCCATGTTTTCTGGTGTAAATTGCAGTGGACATTTCAAACATTTTTCTCTCTGCAACCATCCACTGGGCTGGATTACATCCCATATTTTGTCATTCATGTTACAAAGCAACATATCCACCCCTCATGTGAAACACGTCAATCAGCTACTTTCTAAGCCATCTATTCCTTTAGGTTAATCTGGAAGGAATAAAACAAACCCAGACAAGGACTAAGTCGAGTAATTCAGCTTTTATTGTTTAAAATGTTCTTTTTTTTTTTCTTAAATAGTTTTTCTTACACAGCAAAACGAAACTTTTTCTTTTATTCTGAACAGGTGGCGTAAATTCTCTGACTTCATCACTTTGGAGATTTTAGAACAGCTTTTCTTGGTTTCTAGCCCAATATGTGCTCTTTGTTTTTCTCTCTGCTAAAACAATAAAATTAATCTATGGAGTTTTAACTGTGTCTGCCATTCGTCTCACAATAAGTTGAAAATCTTTCAGTCCTATGTAGAAAACGACATATAGCGCACATCAGTATGAGAATTTTCTTCTTTTTTTTTTTGATCTATAGACCAGCGCCAGAAACCCCAGATCCCAACAATTCTCCACAGCAGCACAAAACCCTTTATCACTGCTAGCTTTGCAAATGTCCATTGCACAACCCAAGTGTTGTCTTCTTTTTTCCCCCTGTAGTTAACCAATACAACAACACATTACAAAATTACATGTAGTAATGTTCGTCAGATGAGTACAGCCACTATTTGTGTGGGGTGGTTTGTTTGGGCCTGGAGTTCACAGAGGTTTACATGTCAAGGAGCAGCACCCTGGGGTCCTCCACCACGGACTTGATCTTGCGCAGGAAAGTGACAGCCTCTCTTCCATCAATCAGCCGATGATCGTACGTCAGGGCAACATACATCATTGGACGGATTTCCACCTACAAGACACAACCAAACGATAACGATGAAGAAAGTGAAGACTTAACTTACTTGATAATATTGTACATAAAATTTAGTTTAATAAAAAAAGAGAGAGGAGTCATAATGATATACACTGATCAGGTACAGCATTATGACCAATCACAGGTGACGAGAATAACACTGATTATCTCTTCAGCATGGCACCTGTTAGCAGGTGTGATATATTAGTGAGCAAGTAAACATTGTGTCCTCAAAGTTGATGTGTTAGAAGCAGGAAAATTGTGATGCCTTGACAATACAGAATCTCCAAAACTGCAGCTCTGGTGGGGTATCCCCGGTCTGCAGTGGTCACTATCAATCAAAAGTGATACAAGGAGGGAATAGTGGTGAATCAGCGATCAGGGTCATGGGCTGCCAAGGCTCACTGATACACATGAGAAACGAAGGCTGGCCTGTGTGGGCAGACGAGCTGTCTGTGTAGGTTCTCAGTCATCCAGGTCATGGTAAGCGCTTAAAGAAGTTCAGCCACCTTCTTTTTAACTTTTTAAAATGAAAAACCAAAAGCCAGAGAGGCCCAGGTATTAAACCCTACTGGGGGTTGTCTCTTAGGAGGTGGTTGTTGACCCACTATAAATCATGTGAGCCAAAGTGTTAAAAAAGGTGTGGGTTATACCACCCGAGGTTTCAGGTGAAACCACTATCAGACCTTGCCCCACCCCATCATGTGGCCTATTGAGGTCACCTAACGCAAGATGTGAATGGGGTTTGAGGACCGTGGGAAGGGATCTCAAGAGCACACTTTAGATGGCTGACAGTTGGTGTTGTTACCCACCACCTCTTTTCAGTGACAGCCATTTACAGTGGACGTAGATGGCGTCTTTTACTCCTCTTTTACTCAAACAATGTGTCTTCTTGGTCCAAAATGTCAACAGCGGCATCCTCGAGAGCGACCTTTACTCTTTTTGACGTTGAGCTTGTTGCAATCGCAGTTTGTTGAATATGGGGCTGCATAGTTGGAGACCATCAGGGTGCCCATGCTGACCTCTGTTAACAACATAAGAGCGCCAACAGTGGGCATGTGACCCTCAGAACTGGACCAAGGAGCAATGGAAAAAGGTGGCCTGGTTGCTTATGCTGTGAAAACACCTGACAACAGCATGCACTATGGGAACTGGCAGAGGCAGTGTGATGCTTTGGACAATTTTCTGCTGGAAACCTTGGGTCCTGTCATACATGTGGATGTTACTTTGACACATTCCACCTATCTAAACATTTCTCCAGACCATGTTCAGCCTTTCATTGAAACAGTCATCCCTGATGGCTGTGGCCTGTTTCAGCAGGATAACGCACCCTGCCACGGAGCAAAAATGGATTCCCCAGATCTCAAGTCAATCGTGTATGTGTGAGACGTGCTGGACAAACAAGTCAGATCCATGGAGGCCCCATCTGACAACTTACAGGACTTAAAGTTGCTGACATCTAGGTGCCAGACACTTTGGCGAAGGGTCTAGTGGAGTCCATGCCTCAAAGAGTGAGGGCTGTTCTGGCAGCAAAAGGGGTGCTAACACAAAATTAGGCAGGTGGTCATAATGTTATGCCCGATCAGTGTAACTCTACTGTACATGTGAGAAAAAACAAAAACAAAACAATGGACAGTCTTCATAATGTGAATCATTACCATTTCCCACTTTTCTAATGTATTTACATTCTCATATTTGTAGGTTTCAAAACTATATTTGAGTTTTGGCAGTAAAACACCAGGAACAATTATAAATGTTATAAATGTAGAAGGTGGGATCCTTTGTCCACCTTAAGGTTTCAGGTTTCTGAGCATCACCATCTCAGCCGATCTCACCTGGACCCACAACACCAATGCCCTGGCAAAGGCGGACCAGCAGCAGCCGCACTTCCTCCTTGTCCTGAGGAAGAATAACCTGGACCAGAAGCTGCTGCTGGCCCTCTACTATTCCTCAGTGGAGAGCGAGGCTCTCCTATTGCCTGGGTGTTTGGTACGCAGGGGGTACGACTGAGAACAGGAAGTCTGTACAGAGGGTAATTACCCCCCCCAAAAAAATAAATAAATAAATAAATAAAAGTAATTGGTTGCTCTCTGTCACTCTCAGCGCTAGATCCTCTTGTCTCAGGAAAACCACAGCCATCACAGGTGAGCCCTTGCAACCTGCCCACCACCTGTTTGACCCACTGCACTCAGGCCTCAGGTATATCTCACAACAACAGACTGTTAACAAACACTATCCCCCCCACACCCCAC